GTAATGTCACGGCCATGGCTGTGCCTCTGTTTTGTCCCCTTGTTTTCCTCTGTCTGTCTCTGTGAGTGGGCGTGGCCTCTTTCCCCAGTCTGGCTCCTGGTTCTGTTCTCACTACACACCTGCCTGCCATCAGGCAATCACCACCAGGGACGCTGGAAGTCAGCCAGAGCTGGGGGTGCTGAGAGAAAGTCACCTCACAGCAGAAAGGTTGGGGGTTCGATTCCTGGCTGGGGCAGGGCCTTTCTGTGTGGAGTTTGCATGTTCTCCCTGTGCTCCTCATGACAAGAACCCAATGTGCTTGAATGAAAATGACCAATCGGAGCCAAGAAAGGCTGTCAAATACCAACTGTGGGAATGGGGCTCAACAATGTGTCCAATGTGTCTTCTATCTTTCTCAGCTCTGATTGGTTGTTTTTGTTGCGGCCAGGTGGATTTTTGCAGCTTTAACAGTGATCAATGTGAAACATGAAATTAATAGTTATTCAACAGTCTCTCATTGGGCAAACTTCTAGTCAATAAAATAATAGTGGAATTAAAATATGAACTGAACCTCAGATTGAAAACCACTGCTTTAACTTACTGCAGAGAAAATACCTCTACATCTTTAAATGTAAAGTGCATCTAGTGCTGAGAACCACTTTGCTGAATAACATGAAAAGTCATCTTAGAAAATTTAAACATTTTAATAAATAAAAACTGATGTAATATACACCATTATGAATATACAACTACAACAAGCATACCAAGACATCTGAAATACAAAAAACTGACAGTTCAATTTAGTTGCTTCAAAAGCTTAAATTTTTAGGAAGAGTAGGGGGTGAGCAGGAATTACAATAGCCATACATTCTTGTTAGTGTTTGTGCCAACAAATATAAAAAGCATCATGAGCACTGACTTCTCAGCGATGGTGAACATAATAAAAACGGAGTATCTGGACTGAAGATTTCCATGAAGAGACATTTTGAGGTACTGAGTTGTCTACGCCTGTAACTAACAGTGAACACACTCACACAGTTGTTGTTTTCCGGAAGGTTGTGATGACACAAACACGTTGGAAATAGTCTGTAACTCAAACCGGTTGTACACATCTCAGGAAGACCGAACAATTAAGAGGAGACAATGAGTTCAGTTTGTTCTTCTTCCACTTGTATTGCATTTTGTGATGAAAAAAAAGAGAGCTTCATGTGACTTACATTAACATAAAGTTTTCATTCTCCAAAAAGTTGAGTTGAGTGTTTGCAACAAACCTTTTAAACTAAACAGCATCTTTATAACACAATATTTCAATGCTTTCTCCTTCAAAAGGTCTTCAAACATAGTAACACTGCAGGTCCCTTAAAGCAACAGCCTCCATCTAGTGGTAGGGGTTTGGAGTAGTTTAGAACCGGTGCCATTGACTCTCTGGTCACCATGTTGATGTTGCTCATACTGTACAATAAAAGGGTTCCTGCAGTGGGGGTTAGTATGTTTTACTCGACCTGATAGAAAGACCATAGAGGGATTTGACTGTCTTAAGATGAATACCGTATCAAAAGTCATGGTGAGCATATCTGTTCACTCAGCACCAAACACAATGTGTGGATACTATTTGCAACCACCAATACGTTAGACTTTGAAGCACTGTGACCAAAATTAACAAGAAAACTGTAAACTCAATCCCAAGAAAATCATTATATGACGTGTGTATTCAAATTTAAATTTCCTTGCTTTGAAATTTGCCTCTCGAAATGTTATCTGACCTGTGTATTCCCTGAAGCCAAAGAAACCATCCGAACACACGACAGAAGCGGGTCACATGACGGCTTTCCGGCCAATCGGCACCGTACAGTACAGTACAGGATTGTGTAGCTACATTTTGTCTGAAGCAAGGAAATAACTAACTTAAAAAAAAGCACCACGGATGTTTTTGAATAGCACCAGTTGTCAGAATGTGTATGACGTGTGTGTGTGTTGTTATTATTTTGGCAATGTACAGCACTGAATCGAATGTCACCAATGTCTTGAGTAACTTTTAGCTGCTGCTGCAATGCTCAACCTCCACTTTTGAACGAAAGGCAACAGAATGTTTATCTTGCACATGCTTCTGTTTATAACTGAAAAACAAACGAAAAGCAAATGTTTGGATCCCCTTATGTCAGTTCAAAGCAGCATCATGAAGCATTGTGTCCGTTACATACATACGGTAAATACACGCTGTGAAACATTTCTACCTTTGTGAATCAGATACATTAATATTTATTTGCTCTGCCGTGATACAGATTGCAAGAGAGCACCATAGTGAGGAAAAAAAAATCTCACTGTTCTTTCATGCCAAATATATAAAAAAAAGATGAATGTGTGACTGCAGAAGCCAAAAACAACAAACTAGCGAGGAGCTAAATCACTGACCACAGAAGAACAGATGATACGATGATGGCCCACAAATAATTCAACAATTACATTTGCTATTCACACCAAATGGACGTTGCTATAATAACTAGTTTGCTGTATCCTTCTCTGAGAGTCTGTGTGTAATAGACAGTGAGATATACAGTACAGTGGCAGCCATTTTGGTGCACCATTCTCTTTTGTTTTGTACACAACTGAAAAGCTCAGACAGACGTCATATTTCTCTACTTTGTGTACGATTCTGCATCGCTACAGTATAAAGCAACAAATGGATATAAAAATAATAGAATATAGACTTATACATTCTTGAAAACAAGTACTGTCCCCAAATATAGATACTCATATAACCATTTTGGTTCCATGACAATATATATGTATATTTATATATCTTTTTTTCTCTATATTTCCTGCCTCTATAATATTAAATTCTTAAACTAATTTCTAGCATTTAGAAGTTTTTCCGTCACTCACATATAGACATTGGTCTGTTACATCATGTTATAATGTGACACTGAAGCAGACCCTACACTACTCAGTTCCCACTCAATCTTCAATATAGTTGATGTGCATTGTATTTTCTTCTACAAAAAAATATATATGACAAGGTATGCTTATTTGAGATATTATTTACACGGTGTAACCAAACTTTCTGTTTGAAAACCTCAAACCTGTAATGCTTTTTCGTACACTCAAGTTGGGACAACCGCTGATACGTTATAATATCTCATCACCTCCCTCCATGTCGCTGCGTTGATGCACTGATGGTGAGTGTCTGCAGCATCATGCAAAGACTGACTTTAAATTAGCTGGGCTGTGTCTCAGGGGTAGTTCAGATGAAGGTCTCGGCCTGTCCTTCCTGCCAGTAAGAGATGACATTTCTGCCATTAGCTCTTGTTTTGGTTTTAGCATCTATTATAATATCCCCTCTTCTTTTAAAGGATGTTCTTATCATTAAAGAAAATGTCCTCCAAATGAGTCTCTCAAAGTCTGACAGGTTCAAATGCATGACCTTCTGCTCATTATAAGGACAGTTGAATAACATTTTACTGTCCTGTGAGCTATTATTTCATCTGAAAGACGGCATAGTGATTTTGATGTTTTACATTGCTGTTTGTGGCCATACCAATATGTCTGTTTATTTACAGAAATCTCAATGATATGATTAAACTGCATCACAGCAAATTTGTACAAATTGCTAATTTTGGGCTAAAATTTCAAAGATTTGCATTTTTTTTGGGAGGAAATAATGTAAATTACATGGCAGTTTTAAGTGTCGGGTGCAGTGAGCATCCGGAGCAACTAAACATGTTCCATGAAGTTAATAAAAACTAAGCTTTTTCCTGCGTGGCATGTGTTAGCACCAGAGATTCTCCACTCTTTGCCTATGGGATTAAAAGCCTGTTCGACATGTCAAAGATAAGTCTCAAAATGTGTAAAGCCGGAGCCGAACTCCTCAGCCCAAGACTTGAGAGTGATACAGTACTGAGATTTTCTTTACAAATTGTCTTTTAATGAATGATCAAAAATATTTTTTTTTTCCTCACCACACACTAATTCTAAGCTATTTTTGTACCGCACCATCAACTGCTGGGGCCTCTTATGAGAGAGTTACAGTATATATGTGAATCAGCCTCATTGTGGTATCCATTATCATTCTGAGCTATTTCACAGAGTCAATCATTGTCTAAGGTTACATCTATGTACTGTACGTAACACAAGTCAGACTGCAGTTTGACAAATAGAGCATCAAAATTGACTTTTTTTTCTTTTACTCCAGACTACAGTTTGTGAGGTAACGTTCAACTAACATGTAACTATAAAATATATCAACTGATAGACATCACAGAAGTAGTAAAGAGCAACTGTACCTGCCCTAGTGACCCCTTCATCTAGAAAACAGTTCTGAGTGCTGTGACAGTTTCAGATCCACTGAACTCTTCAGACTGCATGGCATGTGCTTTTATTACATCTCAACTGCTGTGACAAACTGCCAGAAGGGTTGAATTTAATAATTTTGCAATTCAAATTTACCGTAAAACTTCTAAAGTCCCAAATGCTATCCTTTACTAGCCTGATTTGGCTACACGTTTTGACAAATAAATGCAGGTCTCCAATAGGGGCCTGGTCTGGATTTAAGTTCTTTGGATGTATAAAACCTCTTAAAACCCACTGGGTTACCTGCTTGAGTGACTTCTAAGCTGCTTAGATCACCTACACATCATTAGATCAGTCAGATTTCCCACAATTCAATAGTTTGGTACATTTTACAGAAACTATGAGCACCAAAGTATAATTCATTCAGATTTACCAGCATGGTAAACGTGCTGACTCCTAACCTTTAAAGCGGTCATAAAACCTATACCCTATGTGTCCATTCCTAGATTATTTATATTCCTTTAGTCCATAAAGGTCATAAAGGGTTAATGAAAATTAATCCGAGTTATGAATTTTGTCATGTCAGAGTTTTGTGCTAAAGGAAACGCCTGGCCCAAATAAAGGAGAGTGAAGAGTTCTGTGATTTAAGCCAATGAGTGCATGGGCTATTGTTAGAAGTTTTACAGTAGTTTCATTA